TGTGTATATATACATACATATATGTATATTATATATATGTGTGTATGATCATTGCAAGTGTGTGTGTTTGCATATACCTATATACCATATGCACAGCATTCCCTATATACAGTGATATACATGTATGCATGTATGTATATATACATATACATACATGCTGTGATCATTGATCTAGAAGCAGATGAGGATTAATCTATATCATTCCTCTTAATTTTACAGATAAGGAAACTGGGGCTCAGAGAGGCTAAATGACTTACAGAAGGTCATACAGATAATTATAGGTAATAGCTAACATTTATGTAGCACTTACTACATGTCAGTCACTGTGCTAAGTGCTTTTCAGTTGTCTCATTTGATCCTTACAACAACCCTGCAAAATAGGTGCTGTTGTTACCCCCATTTTACAGATGAGGAAACTGAGGCAGACAGGGTAAGTGACTTGAGCAAGGTCATACAGAGAGTGAGCGTCTGAGGCTGGGATCTGAACTCAGGTCTTCCTGATTCCAGGCCCAGCACTCCATCCATTGCACCACCTAGCTGCTGCTGGTTAGTGCAGAGTTGGTATTTCAAACCAAGTTCTTTGTCTCTAACACAGTACTCTTCTACCGTACCACTTTCTGCTTACTACATGGGAAATTTGTCGAGATTGAAAGAAGGCATAAGTTTAGGTTTCCCTGGACAGCTTTTTAATTCTTTTCTTTTAATTTACTTTTTTTTAAGCTCTTAAATATTTAATTTGTTTTAATTAGCCAAAATCTGCCTTCTCACCTTCTCTGCTAACCCTCCCCCAACTGTTTATGCAGTCTAAGATTGAATTAGCTCTTTGGCTGCTTCAAAGAAACTAGTGGGTGTGGGAGTTTCGTGTCTGTGTGTAAGATATAATCTGCTGGGAAGATTATAGTATTATTTGTTTTATATACCTGTTCTGACACCCAGTGAACTTAAAACTTGATTGGGAGAAAAAAAGAAAGAAACCTTAAATTTTGGAACTCTAGTTTTTATGCCACAATTTTCTTCTAGTTCTTTGGAGACAACTCTTCCCCTAAGAAGATCTTTATTTTTTTTTTTTTCTAGTCAGTGATATTTGAAACATTCTTGACTGCTAGCAAAACTCTGGAAATTACATTTGGGGCACATCCAGTCCTCGGTTTGTAATTCTGTTCTTTCAGTTTCATATCACATATGGGTTTCTTACCATTGTAGATATCTTCTGCTTTATGGGGCAGTGTACCACACATTCGTAACAGGCTGTCTGTCAAGCAAAATTCATGACCTTGCATCTTTAGTGATTCTAATTTCCTGTTCTGCTTTCTACATTTTTGTGATCCAATAGTATTCCAAGACTTTAAAATGGTGCTTTATCTTGTATTGCAAAGTCTCTAATACAGTTTTCAATTTCTCATACTCATCCTTTATCTGTTTGTTCCCAGGTGCCTCTTGACTGTTCCCAGAAAGGTTCTGTCTTTTACCCAGTAATCTATAGTACTTGTTCTGGTGTTATTTTCTATTTTTTAAAATACCTTTCAATTTTTTCCTTTTACAAGTCTGTTTAAAAGTCAGGGGGTTTGCTGGCTTTTTGTCATGCATATAGGGCTATACTGCCATTTCTGGCAAGACCTCTGTGGGGGTCCTGGAACCTAATGATTTACAATAGAACTTCATCCATTATCCCTAAGGGTTGCAAGACTTGTTCCATAGTCTTTTGGGGGGGGGGCGGGCTTTAGGCAATGGGGTTAAGTGACTTACCCAAGGTCATACAGCTAGTAAGTGTTATGTGTCTGAGGCTAGATTTGAACTCAGGTCCTCCTGAATCCAGGGCCAGTGCTCTATCCACTGCGCCACCTAGCTGCACCCCATAGTCTTTTGTACAATTATTATTATCTTTGCATTTGAAATCCCAGGTCAAATCAAGTCAATGAGCACTTGTGAAGCACTTACCATGTGCTAGGCACTGTGCTAAGGTTCATAGCAAAAAAAAAAAAGTCAAAAACCAAACCTTATTCTCAAGGACTTCACAGTTTAATGGGGAAAAGAACATGCAGGCAACTTTGCACAATAACATATATACAGAGTAAATTGTAGTTAATCTCAGAGTAGGTGCTAAGATTAAGCAGGACTGGAAAAAGCTTCTTGCAGATGAGACTTTAGTTGAAACTTGAAATAAGCCAGGGAAACCAGAAGGCCAAGATGACTTTTTGATCCAGCCATGGGGGACAGCCAGTGTGAAAATGCCTGGAGTTGGGTGAGACATGGAGTGTCATGTGAGAGGAACAAGAAGAAGCCAGTGTCATTGGATGGCAGAATAGGTAGAGAGGAGAAGGTATGAGGAGAAAAAAAGTAAGAAAGAGCCAAGTGATGAAGGTTTTAAAAGCTAAACAGAGGGTTTTGTATCTGATCATGAAGGTAAGTAATAAGAAGGCATTGGAGTTTTTAGAGTTGGGATCTGGGGTGTAATGGTTAGAGTTGTGCTTTAGGAATTTTTTGAAACTAGACCAAGCTGCCATATCTGTGGAGATCCCAAAATACCTTCTAGATTTTGGAAAACTTCTAGTGGCCCAGAAAAGCAGGGACTTGGTTCTAAAAATTCTGAGTAAATATTTTAAGTCATATCCCAATCTTCTAAGTTTTTGGCAATGTTTAGGTAACCGACCTAAACATTTTTTGAAGTCTTGTTTGGAATAGAACTGACAACTACGACTAAGGCAGATATTTCCTTTATTTTCAAGATACCTTCTTTTTATACTGGTAAACCTAATTCTTAATTGATTTGTTTCTGTTACCAAAAATATTCAAATCTTGGAGCACTCTCCTGAGGTTTCTTGGTCCCTATATTTTATAGAGTAGCTGCTATTTGACATGCTATCCACTTTGAATTATTTGCTGTTTTGTTTTATGTTCTTGTGATGTTGCTGTTGAATAGAAAATTTGTATTAGTTTTCTAAAATAATCGGAAGCGCAATCTGTTTGCCGTAAGACTGGTTCATTAGTTCAATATTAAAGCTCTTATCTCAGATCCCTTCAATTTTCTAAATTATTCCAACTATCATTCTTATTGCACCGTGTAGTACTCTGGTTCTTTGAGGAAGCTTAGAGCACTGGGCCTGGTTTCAGGGAGGCTTCAGTTTAAATTCAACCTTAGACACAGGCTTCTTTTGACCCTGGGCACCTCACTTAACTTCTTTCTGCCTGCGTCTCTGTTTGCCATCCAAACCTGTGTGATTTTTGTTCGTGTTTTCCATCAGATATTCTGTAAAAGATCCACCCAGCATAGGAAAGCTAGGCCTTCCTCTTGTTGTTTTATTATCTAGGGGATACAGAGGAATAATAGGAGCATTTAATTGTCACATGTTCTATTTTTCTATTAGACCAGCTAGATTTAAGACTTGTCTTAAGTCTTGGGAGTTGTGTGTGTGTGTGTGTGTGTGTGTGTGTGTGTATGTGTGTTTTCTTTCCATGATTTTATAGTCTTATAGTTTTATTTAAATACACTTACTTACACACACACATACACACCCATGTAAATGGTTTTTGTTGTAGTGAGCAGTTTGTGATCATTGATATACTTATTAATACTGGTACACAATCTTAGCTACATTATTATTTATGTTATTCTTCTGCCTTTTTCTCTAGTTGTCTAAGTAACAACTTGGTATTAGCCAAGTTTTCCTTTATTATGTGTCTACAGTAATTTTTAGTATTAATCACCCTGTTGTGAATTGTTGCTACAGTCATTTCATTCAAAATGTCAAGTACAAGTTTATAACATTCTGAGATCTACAGGAGTGAGTTGGTTTGAATCTATGTTGTCCTCTGTCCGTCTTAACTTTCTTCTGAAATACCTCTACAAAAGGAAAATTTCCAAAAGGTTTTGTAAGTAGAGATAAAACAGTAGTAATTTCTAGGTTTGTAACTAATTCTTAAAACTATAAGCAGAAGATTTCATTGCTTTCTATTCCGAAGACCCAGGGCCACCTCCTGAAGACATCAGGAAAAACAATTCCCTTTCTCTTCTCCGTGATCCCAAAAGAATGAAATGTGTCCTGTGTGACTTCAGAGGTGATTTGAATGTAGAAGTAGTTTGAATAATCAGGTAACCATATTTTCAGAAAACATATTTAGAAAAGTTTTGTTCTCAGCAAGGATATCTTTGTAGGTTTGTTTGTTTGTTTGTTTTTAATTATGTGGCATACCTCATTGCATAAATCTGGTTTTTTGGTTTTGTTGTTGTTTTTTTTTTTTTTCCTTTCGTCACTTTGAGGCAATCTCTAGTACAACTTTATTTTGAAAGATAGAACTGACCCTTGTTTTTTGAACTGTGGCTTATGCTTTTTGCATGTAATTGTATTTCAAGACACATTGTATGTCTGAATCCACAAGCAATATTACTACAGTGCTTTAGGGTATATCAGTTCTACAGTTTACCCATTTAATTATCATCCTTGGTATATTCAAGAATACTGATATTAAACCCTAATCTAAAGTTAGTATTTTCCTGAAGTAGCTCTAATCATAATAACTATAATGATCATGGATCTTAGATGGAAGTGACCTTAGAGATCATCTGGGCCAACCCTTTTATTTTCTAGTCAAGAAAACTGAGGCCTGGAGAGATTAAGTGACTCACCCAAGGTCACACAATCAGGAGGAGAGTCAAGATTCAGACTCAGGTCTTGTGACTCTTAAGTCCATTGATCTTTCCATTGCACCACGATATTCTCTAATTTTTTAAAAGCCTACTGGAGCATTTTGTGCCTATATATTGATACAGAAATATATTTATACACTCACAGTTTTCAAACCAACTCTTCTGAATATATCTTCTAAGTAGTAAGCTCCTAGATTTTATTATTTAATAATGCCTTTAATTTTCAGGTGCAGAAAGCTGCCATTTTGCTGATTGCTGATTGAGTGTTATTGGCAGTAAGAGTATTTAAAATGTAAGAGATTGGCTTATAAAAATAACTGACACCTTTTGTGTTGTTTGCCTTTTTAAATTTCAGTTTTACAGCTACCAGCACAGTAGGAAAGAGAAACATGAGCCCCATTCAAGAGGAAACTGGCTCTGAAGATATAGAGTCAGTGGAAATATCAGACTGTGAGCTTGATCAGACAGATTCCTCTGCAGAGTCCCTTACAGAAGGGAAGAAAAAAGCCAAGAAATGTAAAAAAGTAAAGAAAGAACTCACTTCAGCTGGTAGGTATTATTTGCTAAAGGTCAGAGCTTACTTTTTCAACCTTGAACCTTATATAAATTTATGAGTTGGGGGAGGGATCATAAAATCATTGTGACATTATGTAATTCTCATGAGACCAGAGAGATTTAAGACATATTTTTAATTGCACCTGTAAGATTCAGCACAGAATTTTTTTAAAAAGCACCACAAAAAATCCCAGTTATGTTGTGGGGGTATAGAGGAAAGAATGCATACTAAATATTGCTATGGTTTTTTAGTTGTAGACATGGGACATAATGAATCTCATTAATTGAATTTCATTAATATTAATGAAATCAGCAATGAAGCCAAAATGTTGCATGCACTTTTAAAATGTATATCATGGTACAGCTTAATTGAATCAAAACTGTAACACATACTAGATACCCTGATTATGTATCCTAGCTAGCTCAGGGAACTTATCTCTGCTTGTCATATTACTTGCCATTTTAAAAAAAGGGGAAAAAATCTTATGCATTTGTGTAGTTTAAAGTCTTTGGCATAAGTAGCATACACCTCCTGCCTACCTCATTGTAGATACTGGTCAACTATTAAATATTCAGTGTTCTACCCAGTAATATTCTTCATGTGGTTTTCTTATTTGTGTTTCACTCTTTGTATCTCAATTTTCCTTAGATTTTTCTCAGTTCTACATAGTGAACTTGTCCATTTATTTGTCACTTTCTAGGGAGAAGTTTTCAATTCCTTTTCTGTTCATTTCTGGATAATCTTTGAAGCTACTAAATATAATTCCTATTAATAGAATCCTCTAACTCTCTTTGCTGCTTTTGTTGTTTTCAGTGAAAACATTCTCTAGGTTATTTAGGATTTCAAATCTGTAATACTGCAAGTAAAGCATACATTTTTCTCCCATTGACAATAAAGCTGTCATAGTCTAAGAAATTGACAACTTTTAATTGAATTGGCTAAATCAAGTGACTTAAGTTTTCTTCTGAATTGCTGTTCTTAGAATAAAACCTTTTAACAGTACAAGTTCAGCAGTTTAATGAATCATTTTAACCTGGTTTATTTAAGCATTTAATCCTATATCAGTAAGATGTGGGTCAGTGATAGCAGATGCTTAACATGTGAATCTAACAATATTGATTACTCAGTTATTGTCATAAGGCACTATAACTTTGTGAAACTACCAAGTTCAGACAATCTTACTGGTCTGTGTTAAACTCTCTAAAGCAAATAAGTTCAGTATTAGAGCAGCTTTTTTTTTTTAATACCCCTGTTGTGACGAACAAAGTAAAGTCTGATGAAGAAGCCTGAGAGCAGAACTCAAAGGTGTTCCCAGTGTTCCATAAACTATAAGAGCCCAGCAGATGGGAGAAATTCCAGGATGAGGAGTTCTGGCTTAGTCTGGGAATGATTCCACCAGAATTCAAGGATGATTCTTTGTACTCTGAATACTCATTTGTAGTACTGCTATAAAAGAAGTATAAGACATGGTCCCTCTCTGTAAGTTAAATACATATACTTTTTAGTAATCAGTTATGCATAACTGAAATAGTGAAAGAAGTGTTGCTAACCAAATCTCACAGATCTCAAGCTATTGAAATGTTCAATAACTTACATGTGTGTAAAGGTTATGAACCAGGTACTTTTCAGGTAGTAATACTTACATGGCATAGTGCACCAGATTTGGAGTCAGAGGACTTGGATTCAAATCCTGCCTCTGCCATTTACTACTTGTTTGACTCTGAACCAAGTCCCTTTTCCTTTCCTGGCCTTGGTTTCCTCATTTGCAAAATGGAGGGGTTGGATGACCTTAAAGGTCATTTAGAGTTTTTAGCTCTAACTCTATATCCTACAATTAGGTCAATAAATTACGTTTTTACTTACTATAAAAGGAGTATTACTTTAAAAGACTTTGTTATGAAATCAGTAATATTAATATTGATAACTGATTTCTAAAAGTCTTTGTATGCATTATCTCATTTTACTCCTGAGGCAAATAATGCAAGTATTTTTATTCTCCTCTTGTAGGAAACTCACTGAGGTTCCTGAGGTCACACACAGCTAATAAATAACAAGCCAGGATTCGAACCTAGGTATTTTGCCTACTAGATTTAGCCCTAAATATTTTGATTATAAGACTTAACCTTTATTTTCCTTTATCACACCACTTCCCATGGGTACCAAGATCACTTAAATGTACAGAAAGAACATTCAGAAATATAATAGAAAAAGAATTACTTTTTACAAAGGTATTTCCTGCTACTGTGCTGGTAAGAAAAAATAAACTTTCTTTTCATATCTTCACAGCTATTAGAACCACTACTTTTTTTTTTTAAGTATCAGTTCTCACTAAAAATTTGTTGAATGAATAAGTTTTTATAAAAGCTCATGGTTCAGGATTTGTACATCTCATTCCTTATATTCACAGGAAGCAGGTGTATAAGAACAGTAAGTTCCCTTTTTGTATTTATTATAATCAGTATTGGCTTATTAGTCTCATTATGTTTTTCCTCAGAAGAGCTCAAGGTGTACAGTGTTTATACTGTTTTGGAGTTGGATATTAATGAAAGAAAAACAGTCCAGCATGTAGTGTGAATTTATGTTTGTATAGTGTGTTTGTATCTAGGAAATATAATTCCCAAGATTTCTTTCAGTAGAATGGGCTTGTCCAGTCCATTAAGCCCATATGGTGAATCAGTCATGAGAATATGGCATAAATACGGGCTGAGCGCCATTTTCACCTGGCGTTTTGTAGTTCCATATCCTCATCTTTCTATCACCATAACCATCTCCTGACCATCCTTCCTATTATACTCTACCAAAAAAATTACATGAGTAGGAAGGCACCTAGATTATGACAGGACTGACAGGCATCAAAACCTTCTTGGATACTGCTGAAATAGAATCCTTTTTTGGAGAAATTTCCAGTTGAGGTCAAAGAGAAAATATACCAAAATGCAGTTCATGGTTAAACTTTTTAATGTAAAAAGAGAAATCCAGTTCCAAGTTTGGGGCTCTTCTCTCCCTTCCATCGCCCCACTACACATGTAAAAAGCACGATACATTAGACCTTTAATGTTTGCCAAGAGCCGTGTTTTATTGGAGTCTTGGAAAAACTGCTGAACTTTTAAATCTTGTACCCTTAAGGTTACACTGAAAAGTTTAGAATCCACTTAAAGCAATAATCTTCTCAGATACTGTTACAGGTTTCATTAAAGTTAGAAATGAGTTCTAAAGTTGCTGTCATTCTTGTGAAAGGCCAGGCAAAAGGAGTTCACTTACCTCCCATGAAAATTTTTAATGACTGTATTAGGACTGATTTACAGCTAAAATGTGGAAAAAGAAATTTGTGAAGCACATAGTAGCTTGCATGTTGAAATCCATGCTTGTGCCTCTTCTTTGCTTGGTGATGTACTTAGAGCTTCTTAGAACCAGCCATAGCGCTGTATAGGAGGTGAAATACTGCTCTACAGTGAGGTCTCTTGGAGACCTTACTAACTCAAAGATAGGGTCTAAGATTGACTGGCCTTTTTCCGAATTCTATTTTTTGGTAGTCGTTTGTATATTGTCTCCCCCATTAGACTGAGCTTCTTGAGATCTTAGAGCTTTTCTTTGTCATCTCCAATGCTTAGCGCAGTGTCTAGCATATAGGAGGTATTTAATAAATGTTTATTGGGTTAGTCAGTTTTGGAAATTTTTAAAATTCCATTTTGGTTTGGCAGGGAAGATAGTCATTAGTTGTGGGGAAAGTCTTTTTGCCTTTCTGTTTTCTCCTTTTTCAACCAAACATTGAAATTTGATCAGAACAGTAAATAGATTGAAGTAAATTTATAGAACCTTAGAACAGGGAGAAATCTTAGAAATCATACCATCATAAGGTCATAGATGTGGAGTTGGAAGAATCCCAGGAGCATCTAATCCATCCCCTTCTTTAGAGTTGGAAAAACAGGCCCAGAGAAGGTGACTTATACAACCAAGGCCATGTGCAATAGTGTATATATCTATAACAGAATTTAACATCATAGTTCTGAAGTTGGAAGGGTTTTAGAGGCCATCGAATCACATGCATTCATTTTAGAATGAGGAAGCAATATGTACATGGTTTGACCAAAGTAGTTGGTGACAGAATAAGAAATAGAACCCAAGGTCTCCTAATCCTAGTATAGGGAGTTTGGTTTTTTAAATTTATATACCATACCAGAGATAGAAGTAATTTCAGGAAGAATGATTAATTGGGTGGGTGTTTAAAAATTTATTTCAATAGGTCTTTGCATAATTTCAAAATATTGCCTGTGCAAATACACTTCCAAGAAGACCTACTCTTCACTGTTTCGATTTTTGACTTAGGAAATTCAGGAGTTTCTTATGTGATTGAAGAAAGTTACAGGCAACTACCTGGGTTCATCTTTTTTTTCTTTTTTTTTTTTTAATCTAAGTCTCAAAAGTAAGCCTTAAGTAGGTAGCCTTTAAAACTGTAATGTATCAGTTAGATTTTTCTTGTGCCTTGATCAGGTGCACCATTCTTGGCTATGTAGCTATTCAGTTTTGCCACCTGAAATGGGCATTTCCATGTATTCAGAGAGTTACCTTCCCAGACATGCAGTGATTTTGATTTCATGGATAAGTTTAGAGCCACACTAAAGGTGGGGTAGGGCAGTCTTGAAGCTTGCAAAAAAAACCCTTGTAGCAAAGTTGTCATTAGCTCTTCTAATTCTTTCCAGACTTGATGAAATAGATGTATCACCACATTGTCCTAATTTACTTTGATGGTAGCAAAGTGTAAATGAAAAGGAGGTAGACTGTTCATGTTGCAAGTAATGACAGTTGTACAACCTAGATGATGCACCCATGGAATGTTTTCTAGAAAGAAAGAAAGAAAACCAGGAAGAAACTCTCTACCTACTTGGAAGATTTTTTTATGTGAATTTGTTGGAGAAATGGTATAAGATGAGAATATATGGATGGGTTGAATAGTACAAGTGTTCACATCAAGATTATAGATCTCTCTCAAAGTGTAAAAAATGTTGTAATGGAAAGGCCAGACTTGGAATTAGGAAATATGGGTTTGAATCATTGTTCTGACATTGACTAGCTAGGACAAATTTTGACCATGGACAAATCACCGAGTTTATCTGACCCTGTTTTTTGATTCATTATTGTTGTTGTTTGTCCTTTGTTCTTTAGGAGACTTGGGATTAGTAATGCTAGAACTACTTACTTCAAAGGGTTGCTGTGGGGAGAGCACTTTACATTATCTCTGCAAATGCAAGTTGTTCAAATTAGGTCGGCAGACCTTTGTGTCAGTGCTAATTTTTATGAATGGTTGATGAATTCAAACCCATTCTGCTTGTGGTTTCCAGCTGTTGTTAATTTCAGCAAATGACATCAGTGACCCACCTTGCAGAATGATGGAAATCAGAAATCTTGATATGAGGCTGATCAATTTGAGTCTGCAAGATGCTGGCAAGGAGGCATTATATCTTTGTGGGGATAGAGCATTGCAAAGAAGGGTATTTTTAATACTGGGGGCCATCTCCAGTGGTCCTGATCTTTGTCTTGCCACTGCACTTAGATGACTCTGGAGGAGAGAGTGAGGCTGGTGATTTTGTACAGTCCCGCCTCAATTAAATCCAATTCACTTGCAAGTCAAGACATCAACTTCCTGATGTCATTGGTCTTCTTCAAGAAGGAAGGACAAACAACACACTGTGAGTAGTAGTAGCTGCTCCACTGGGGACCTGAGTGGCCAGTTTCAATTGGGCAATGCTTGCTCCTTCCTTCCTTCCTTCCTTCCTTCCTTCCTTCCTTCCTTCCTTCCTTCCTTCCTTCCTTCCTTCCTTCCTTCCTTCCTTCCTTCCTTC